ACCTGCTGCGCATGCGCTTTGCTGATTGTGCGCGAGTAACGCAGATCGTGCCTCGGACTCGCGTTTCACGAAATCCTTATTCTGGAATGACTCCTGACCGGGCTAAATCTTTGACAAAGTACGCCTAAAACGACCGAATGCGACCTTCGTGTCCCTATAAAGTCGCCTGGCTGCACGTTGAAGCTACACTGGCAAACTTAGCTTTGCTTCGCTAACAGGCAGAAGCGTCTGTTAGCAACACGTCGCTCAGAAGAGATCAAGTGAATGTCAAGTCTTGTGATTGTCGCGGGAAATGTGTGCAAGAAAGACGACAGAGTACAAGGAGGAACTTTGTCAGTTGGAACCTCGAGTTGCCTTAAACGGAGCAGGTTTGTTTACTTCTCGTTCTCACTTGTTTCATGACTACCTTCCGGCCTTCTTACCGTTTTACGTCACATGTACACAAACATTATTAACATCCAATGTCGGGTAAGAGGCGGATCTTCTTGGTTTCCCCTCATGATTATGTTTGAGACCTCGGACTCTGATGTTTCCCCCCTCTACACTGTTTGACTTTTTTCTTCTTTTGAGGATCCAACAGCTTGTCATTCTTCTGTTATCTTCAACGTTGCCAAAATATTCAGAAACAATAATAGACAATGTCAAAGCCACAACGTGAGACTTGACTGAACAAAGGTTGACTCAAGCAATCTCTGTCTTCTGCAGACCTCAATGAAGAAGAGCACTCAAGGGGAACATTTAAATGCACACGCAAGCAGCAGGAGCCAGCATATGGCCAAATTAAAGAGGAGGAGCAGGAGGAGGAGCGTGAGTGCCCTTACGTTAAAGAAGAAGAGCAGGAAGATGAAATCAGCAAGATTCCATTGACTGGAGTCATTGTGAAGAGTGACGAAGATGATGGGGACCAGGATGGGCGATCCCAATCGGACAGCCTCTTAGCTCCACTTTCAGATGGTGATGACGTGACGTCACGCTCTTCTGACACTGGCGGTGACGACGACGATGATGATGAACACGTTACAGGTGATATGACACGTCATGCTGATAACAAACGAGTGGCGTGTTCCCAGTGCGACAAAACCTTTGTCAACAAGTATTCCTTGAAAAGACACACGAGGACTCATACTGGCGAAAAGCCTTTTGCCTGCTCGCTTTGTGGGAAAAGATTCTCCAGGAGGGGAGATGTGACGAGCCACACAAGAAAACACACTGGGGACAAACCTTTTGCCTGCTCGGAGTGTGAGAAAGTATTTTCGAGAAAGGGAGATTTGACAATTCACACCAGAACACACACCGGAGAAAAACCTTTTGCCTGTTCACTTTGCGCTAAGACATTTTCTGCCAAGGAAAGCTTAACAAGACACACAAGAACGCACACTGGCGAGAGACCGTTTGCCTGCCCGGTTTGTGGGAAAAATTTCTCCCGAAAGGGCCACTTACGAGATCACTCGAAAACGCACACTGGGGTGAAGCCTTTTGTCTGCTCAGATTGTGGGAAGAAATTCTCCTCGAGGACACATTTAACAAGACACGCCAGACGACACACTGGAGAAAAACCTTTTGTCTGCTCGGATTGCGGGAAAAGGTTTTCGACCAAGGGAGAATTAACAGCTCACGCGAGGACACACAGTGGGGAAAAACCCTTTGCCTGTTCACTTTGTGACAAGAGGTTTTCGACAAACGACCATTTAAAAACGCACACCAGGACACACACCGGAGAAAAACCTTTTGCCTGCACGCTATGCGGTAAAGGCTTTAAGATCAAGAAAGAATTGAACATACACACGAGAACGCACACCGGGGAGAAACCATTTGCGTGTTCACTTTGTGGCTCCAGATTCAGACAAAAGGGACATTTGAAAGCACACAGAAGAACGCACACTGGAGAAAAACCTTTTGGCTGCGTAGGATGTGAAAAAAGATTCACCCAGAGGAAACTTTTAAAAGCACACGCAAGCGGGCACACTGGAGAAAATCCTTTTGCCTCCTCCGTTTTTGGTCCAACATTTTCTCCAAAGGAAGATTGAAGAAGGCACGCAAAGAAGAAACACTGGCCAAAAGCCTTTTTGCCCCCCACTTACGTTGTGGCCACCCCAAGCCGAGCTTACCAAAACACCTTAGCGTACACTGGAGACAATATGTTCAGTTGTGGAGCCTGTTCTAAGAGATTCAGATGAAGAGACACAAGCTTGTGAGTGCAAGTCACCGGCTCCTCCCCTCCTCCCTACGGAGGAACTCATTTCTCTGCGGTTGAAAAAAGAATGAAAAGATGGTGTTGTTCAAGTGATTTGTCTACTAGGGTGCAATCTTTTCCGCCATTTGTTCATACAATGCGTTTTGTATAGAACACATAACGAAATTATTGTTATTATTTTATTTTTTTATAAAATGAAATGAAATCCATTTATCAATGGCCAGAAAAAAAGTCCCAATTGGACGAGGTGGCTAAATAATTTATTTTCAAGGAATTCTGTGAAGCGAAAAGAATGACTTTAAACCAAACAAGCGCTTCAAGTAACATTTAGGAAGAGCAGAGTGAAAGCAGCGCCACTTTTGCGTCATGTTCGAAAGGCCCACCTTTGATTCAACTGTAATAACTCAGTCTGAACACTGGGGGGCACCGCATAAAGATGGACTTAACCAAGAAAAAGGAGCCACCACGGAAGAAATCTGCCTTCACGTTGAGGAGAGACTGTAGCGTTGTCTGCTGAGCTGTAAATCAATTGAATTAAAAAAGGAATACAAGAACGATTTTTTTTAGAAGAATTCACTGACCAAATCTGAATACCGACACGGTGAATGTGGCTCCTTGTAAAACTCTTTGCAGTGATGAATGGTGCAACGTAGCGTGCTGGTAATGTTTACGTTCTCTCTGTCCACGCTACCCTTGGGCCAAATTCTTCAGAACGCCGATGTTGGTTAACATGGCGTTGCAGATAACGCGCACTTACATTTAAAACTGGCGCTTAATGGCAACAGTTCAATTAAATACACGGATGAACCAAAATGTCCTTCAACACAACCCCAATAAAACTAAGGCAATTGCTTTTGGAAGTGCAGTAGCTAGCTAGCTAAAGCTAGCCATCAGTTGGGAAGGCATTGCTCGCGTATTCTGTCCGAATATGATTGCCGTAACTCGCGTTCAAAAATGGCCTACCTGCTGCGCATGCGCTTTGCTGATTGTGCGAGAGTAACGCAGATCGTGGCTCGGACAAGCGTTTCACTAAATCCTTATTCTGGAATGACTCCTGACCGGGCTAAATCTTTGACAAAGTACGCCTAAAACGACCGAATGCGACCTTCGTGTCCCTATAAAGTCGCCTGGCTGCACGTTGAAGCTACACTGGCAAACTTAGCTTTGCTTCGCTAACAGGCAGAAGCGTCTGTTAGCAACACGTCGCTCAGAAGAGATCAAGTGAATGTCAAGTCTTGTGATTGTCGCGGGAAATGTGTGCAAGAAAGACGACAGAGTACAAGGAGGAACTTTGTCAGTTGGAACCTCGAGTTGCCTTAAACGGAGCAGGTTTGTTTACTTCTCGTTCTCACTTGTTTCATGACTACCTTCCGGCCTTCTTACCGTTTTACGTCACATGTACACAAACATTATTAACATCCAATGTCGGGTAAGAGGCGGATCTTCTTGGTTTCCCCTCATGATTATGTTTGAGACCTCGGACTCTGATGTTTCCCCCCTCTACACTGTTTGACTTTTTTCTTCTTTTGAGGATCCAACAGCTTGTCATTCTTCTGTTATCTTCAACGTTGCCAAAATATTCAGAAACAATAATAGACAATGTCAAAGCCACAACGTGAGACTTGACTGAACAAAGGTTGACTCAAGCAATCTCTGTCTTCTGCAGACCTCAATGAAGAAGAGCACTCAAGGGGAACATTTAAATGCACACGCAAGCAGCAGGAGCCAGCGTATGGCCAAATTAAAGAGGAGGAGCAGGAGGAGGAGCGTGAGTGCCCTTACGTTAAAGAAGAAGAGCAGGAAGATGAAATCAGCAAGATTCCATTGACTGGAGTCATTGTGAAGAGTGACGAAGATGATGGGGACCAGGATGGGCGATCCCAATCGGACAGCCTCTTAGCTCCACTTTCAGATGGTGATGACGTGACGTCACGCTCTTCTGACACTGGCGGTGACGACGACGATGATGATGAACACGTTACAGGTGATATGACACGTCATGCTGACAACAAACGAGTGAAATGTTCTCAGTGTGAAAAAACGTTTGTCAGCAAGTCATCCTTAACAATACACACAAGAACACACTCTGGAGAAAAACCTTTTGCCTGCTCCGCTTGTGGTAAAAGGTTCACTCATAAGGGACATTTAAAAATTCACACAAGAACTCACACTGGGGAAAAACCTTTTGTGTGCTCAGATTGCGGTAAAGCATTTTCTGTAAAGACCAGCTTAACACTGCACATTAGGACGCATACTGGCGAGAAACCTTTTGTCTGCTTGGCTTGTGGGAAAAGATTCATTGACAAAGGACATTTGACAGCGCACACAATAACGCACACCGGAGAAAAACCCTTTGCCTGCTCAGTATGTGGCAAAGGCTTTTCTGTCAAAGGAGAATTGAAAATCCACGCGAGAACGCACACTGGGGAAAAACCCTTTGCCTGCTCAGTTTGCGGGACAAGATTCAGGCAGAAGGGCCATTTGAAAGCGCACCGAAGAACACACACTGGAGAAAAACCTTTTCCCTGCTCCGTTTGTGAAAAAAGATTCACTCAAAAGAGACTTTTAATAGTACACACAAGAACGCACACTGGGGAAAATCCTTTTACCTGCTCGGGCTGTGAAAAAAGCTTCTCTCAAAAGAGGCTCTTAATAGCCCACAGAACAATTCACACTGGAGAAAATCCTTTTGGTTGCTCAGTTTGTGGTAAAACATTTTCTCGGCGGGAAGATTTAACCAGGCACACGAGAACGCACTCTGGAGAAAAACCGTTTGCCTGCTCGGTTTGTGGTCAAAGATTTTCTCGAAAGGATCGGTTAACAAGGCACGCAAGAACACACTCGGGCGAAAAAGCTTTCGCCTGCTCGGTTTGTGGCAAAACCTTTTCCACCAAGGAAGATTTAACGAGGCACACAAGAACACATTCTGGAGAAAAACCTTTTGCTTGTTCGCTTTGTGCTAAAACCTTCTCTGCAAAGGGCAACTTGAGAAAGCACGCCAGAACACACTCTGGAGAAAAACCTTTTGCCTGCTTAGTTTGTGGGAAGAGATTCTCTGTCAAGAAAAGCCTAGCAATGCACACAAGGACACACACAGGAGAGTATCCTTTTGCCTGCTTAGTGTGTGATAAAAGATTCGTTCAAGAGGAACATTTAATCCAACACACAAGAAAACACACCGGAGAAAAATCTTTTGCCTGCTCCGTGTGTGGCAAAAGATTCAACGATAAGGGGTGTGAATCCCTGTGCGGTGATCGGTGGTGCAACCTAGCTATCTGCTAATGCTAATGTGCTGTCCAAATATGCGACCATGGGGCCCCATTCTTCAGAACTTTAAAGTGGTAGCCAACCCAAAGATTTTCTTGACAATGTGTTCCGGGCACCTTCACTAGTATGTATTTATGCTGTGTGTGTGTGTGTGTGTGTGTGTGTGTGTGTGTGTGTGTGTGTATGTGTATAAATATGTAGGAGTTTGATTCTGCATGTATACATTTTTCAGTATGAGAGTATGCAATCAAAATGACATGTATTTTAAGGCTTTAACCATGGGTGCCAATAATAATGGAGGGCGCTATCAGTAAAAAAGATGAACAACGATGTGAAAGTAATTGCATATGCCACAAGTGTTTCAATTATGCCCCCCCCCCCCCCCCCACCGCCCCCA